TGTCTGTCCTTGCCTACCTCAGTGTGTCCACAGACTTAGTTGCTTGCTGGAGAGCCTTATCTGGAGTGTTGTTCAACCTGTCCTTATTTCCATCTTATGAAAAGGTATTCAAAGTCCTCTGTTGACTTAAATGAGCTAGCTGTTTCATGTTTCATGTGCATCTTGGTATGTTCTTTATACATGTGTGGGAATCAGCAACTGAGGTGGCCCAGTTCTGCAGAAAGTGTTCTGGGGTTGGACCATATGTCTGTGATTTACTCTGAGTCAGGGATTGATCACTGTGCTCTAGTTACCCCTAACAAACCTTTTGGTTCAAGTGAACCAAGAATATTGGTGGTATAGCTGCCTGGCAAGTCCAATATTTCACACACTCATGGGTAATATGGCCTAGCCCAGCCCAGTCCAGCCTTCTCCCAGGCCTAGCTATCATGCGCATTAGCAGGTATTGTAGTATAATTGGAGGAATGCTGAAAAACCCCTAGACAGGATCACTTCTTAATTCCAAACTCTTAATAATTTATGTATGAGGTCACCAGATTAGGGTAAATCAGGTTGGGGTCAGCATCACGCACAGTTTAAGCTGCTTCCTGTGATACCAGCATCCCCTATGAGTGTCATAAGTCCCCACTGCTCTACTTCTAACTCAGTTCTCTGTTAATGAATCTGGGAAAGCAGAAGATGGCCCAAGTAGTTAGGTTCCCACCATTCACATGGGAGATCAAGATGAAGCAGGTGGCTTCAGTCTGGCCCAACCAGCCTTTTACAGCCATTTGGGGAGTTAATCAGCAGACAGAAGTTATCTCTCTCCCTAACTCTTCCTTTCAAAAAAAAAAAAAAAAAAAACACCAAAAACATGTCTAGGTATTGCCATGTCTCCTCAGGTCTCCCATGTGGTGCAGGGCTCCAAGGATCTGGGTCATCCTCCACTGCTTTTCTAGGGTATAAGCAGATAGCTGGAGCGAAGTGGAGCAGCCAGGATATGAACTGGTGCTCATACAGAATACTAGCATTGAGAGGCAGAAGTTTATCTTGATGTACCACTGTGCCAGCCCCTGTAAATAAACTTCTGATCTATTTAAAGAGTTATATATTTTACATAATTGACTGAAATGCCCAAAGGTACCACAAGGCCCTTGAATTTGTAGAACTAACTGAGGGAAGAATGAAGTTTATTTTACGTACAGGTTCTAATAGAGACAAAATGGAATATTTGGAGTTTGGCTTTTCTCAGGATACACATAGCATTTTAGTGTGGCACAGGGTCTCTCGGAGTAACAGAATGATATAGAATTAGAATCCATGTTAGAAAAGGAATTATAAAATACATTATCTTTTTCACACATTCCTTTAAGCCATTTTGAGTCACTAAAATTTTCATAACCACACAACAGCAACAGAATATTTTAAACTTATTTAGCCAACTACAAAAATGTTTTTTCTAGTTTTCAAAGGGACATTTTCTTGCCTGTAATGCATATTACAATGATTCATGTTCTCAAAAATGACATTTGAATGGTTAGGGTATCTCAAAGCTTTTATTCCATAAATACACAAAACTGAAAATTATTCTGCTTTAAGTACATTTAGAGCTGAATATAGAACACAAAATCTTGTTTCATCTGAAATCTTGTTTCAAAATGAAAGTATAACATGGATTTATAAGCAGAAGTTGAAAGACTACTTCCCCCAAATCTCAATTGTTTAGGAAATAATAGTTTTTGAATCATACACATGCTTGGTCATGAAAGACTGCTCAAACACTTCTCCCTATATCTTTCTTCATTTTTTAAAAACATTTGTTTATTATTATTGGAAAGGCAGATTTAGTGAGAGGAGAGACAGAGAAAAATCTTCTGCCTACTGATTCACTTCCCAATTTGCAGCAATGGCCAGAGCTGAGCTGATCTGAAGGTAGGAGCTTTTTCCAGGTCTCCCACATGGGTGCAGGGTCCTAAGGCTTTGGTCCATTCTCTGCTGCTTTCCTGGGTCACAAAGAGGGAGCTGTATGGGAAGGGGAGCAGCCAGGATACAAATTACTGTCCATATGAGATCCTGGCACATGCAAGTGAGGACTTTAGCCATTAGGCTATTGCTTGTCCCTCTCTATACCTTTAAGAAGCCCTTCAAAACAGACAACAGATAAAAATCTACCAGTTTGGGGGGACCAGGATTATAACCACTGAGACGAAAGGTAATGCAGGAAGGCAACAAATAATTGTAATTTTAAAAATAATGGGCTATAATACTTCATTCATTGAAAAAATGTTTCTAGCAGCTGTCATGAGGGGTTCTACTGCCATTGAACACAATTAAGAGACCTGCACAATCATGCCTTTCAAAGCTTTATTCTTAAGCCCACAACAAACTAACTTAATTCTAACTCAAACACATCCAATCCTAACTCTGTTATTCCTCTGCCTGAAGACCCTGTGAGCCTCTTAGCCTCATGACAGAGGACACGTCCCAAGGCCATCACACTTACTCTACATTCCCTGCGTGGAGTATGAGGGAGGGAGGCAGTAGTCTTTGAGTCAGGGGTGGTATTGTCTGGCTTTCTTCAGCTGGGACTCAGAACACTTGAGACAGTCTTATTCCTCAATGAAGTAGTTGAGATCAATTTGCCTGTCCAACTGAGCCCCTCCTAATCCCCTTCTTATATCCACTGGGCTCCTTCTCTCCAATACTTATCAGTGACTGACTGACCTTCAGCTTTTCTCGGATCTCATTCTTACAGACTACTGAGAAAGGGTGAACATTATCTTGAATACATACACCAGCAAGTCCTAGTTCATGGGCAAGTCCTAGTTCATGGGCAAGTCCTGACGTGTCACTTAATATTTCCACTTATCCTAAGAGGAGACATTACAACTTACTATTACATTTCATTAACTAATGTTTTATACACAGGTTAAACATTACATTAAGTCAGTTAATATCCCAGACATTTCATATTTTGAGGGATGAGCTATATACAAAAATGTTTTTAAACAAGTTTCATTATTACACTCATCATAGCACCAGTAGACACTGAGGTATGTTAAGTAAAAAAGTCTTAGATCTTCATACTACACGACTTAAATTCTTTTGCTATTTCATGTAACCTAATTACCCCACAGTCCTATATTCTAGTTTCAAAAGTAATTAATATTCCAATTGCAGAGCTCTGGCTTGACCTGATCTTGGCAATTTTGGTGGCGGTTGCTATCTTGCCTCTAAGTAACCCTGAGTCTTCCCAAATGCTATGGGATAAGGTTATTCTGGCTTCCAACCTGTTCAGCTCTGGCCATTGCAGCCATTTGAGGAGTGAATAGACGATCTTATTGTCTCTGCTCTGTGTAAATCTGCCTTTCAAATAAGAACATTTTTAAAATGGTATACGTTGACATGTGCTTCAGTTAACAAGTCTTTAAAATATGGATGAGACTTGAGTGTTGTTAGTCACCAAAGTACCGATGAAATTATTTAAACTACTAGTAGAGAAAAGAGAAACATTATTTATTGATAGGTCTTCCATATTTTTTACATAAGTAATTTCATTTAATTCTCAAAATAATTTTAGCAAGTACACATTTACTATTCCATTTTGAGGTGAAGGAGCAACAGTGCCAACTCAGGATACCACAGTTGAGTGGCAGAGTCTGAATTCAAGCACTTCTTTTTGAAAAGATTTATATTTCAAAGAGTTACAGAGTTGGGGAGATACAGCAAAAGAAAGATCTTCCACGTAATGTTTGAACCCCCAGATGGAAAAAACAACAGCACTGGGCCAGGCCCAAATCAGGAACCATGGGTTTCTTCCAGGTCCCCAACTTGGGTGCATGGACTGCACATTTGGGCCATAGCAGGGAACTGGATGGAAAGTGGAGACTCATATCGATTTCCGTGCTGGTATAGTAGGTGGTGATTTTTCCCCTGGGCCACAACGAGGTGACCAAGTTCTTTCCAATTCCTTTCATTACATCCATTGCATGAATTAAGTAGAGAGCTAAACTTTACATCTTTTGTGTGAACTTAATATTCTATCATCCAGGACACATTATACGTGATTTCCTTACAATGTAAAAACATTTAGCACACCGATGATGAAATTATGTAGCTTAGAGAAAAACATCAGTGTATTCAGAGATGACTCCTGTCTCTAATGACAGCGGCATGCTGGTGACATGCAGTCTCCTTGGTCAGAGAAACACTGGCCACACCTATTTTCTTTGGTTAGCTCCTACTGCTCTTTGTCTCTTGAGAAATTCTTTGGGGACCAAGCTCTAGCAGGAGGTACTAAATTACAACCAGAATAAGGAGGAGTAAACTTTCCCGAAATACAAAAGCAGTTTTTAATTAAGTACAGGAATGGTTAGTTCCCCACGCGAAATGGCTGACAGAGGAGACGGTTTCTTCTTCAGTCCGCAGCCCGGCTTCTTCCCAGTCTCTTTCAGAAAAAAGGGGCGATGAAAGTCAAACGCCCAGGGGAGCCTCCTCTCCCCTGCCAGTCACTGCCGCGGCTCGGGCCCGCTCCCCTCGGCGGGTCACCGCCCGGGGCTCCAGCAGCTGGCCAGGCCCGTTGGACAAACGGTCGCAGGGAGAACCGCCAGCGTTCCGCACATTTCGCTTCTGCACTGGGGCTTTTTCTTCCCTTTAATTCCCTTCCCTCAGTCGGTGCCCAAAACTCCCACAGGAAAACTGCGACTCTCGACAAGCCTCCCTCGGGCCTTTTCGGCACTGCCCTCTAACACCAGGTTCCCTCCCGGCCCTCCTAGTGGCCGGCTGACGACAACCGAGCTCTCTCCTTACCTCTCCCAAGTCAGCCTCGGTGGAGAGGGCGGAGAGGGGCGGAGCGGAGCTTGGGCCTCCGGCAGCGCCCGCCCGCCGCCGCCGCCGCCGCGCCCCGGCCGCCCCACCCCCTCGCAGCCCTTCCCCCACCGCCTCGCGCTCCTGTGAGGCAGAGCCGCGGGACCCGCCGCGGCCGCGGTGCGCACGCGCGCCGAGGGTGGAGTCGCCGAGCCCAGAACCGGAAACTTAAGAGACAAAGTTGGGAGCCCCGCCCCCGCCACTCCGCCGAGTCCGGACCCGCCGACCCGCGACCGACGAACGGGCTCCTCGCTTCGCGTGTGCCATGTCTGGTTCCTCCAGCGTCGCCGCTATGAAGAAAGTGGTTCAGCAGCTCCGGCTGGAGGCCGGCCTCAACCGCGTGAAGGCGAGCGCGGCGGGCGGATGGGGCGGGGAGGGCGGCGGCCGGAGCGCGCGGCCCCCTGGCCTGCGGGGAACGCGCCCTGGGCAGCAACGGGCCCTTCTAGAAGGTGCGGCGCGGCTCGGCGGTTTGAGGTCGGAGGAGGCCTTCCCGCCGCTCGGCCCAGGGCTTGCCGCGGCGGGCTGGCCCCCGTGCCCGCTCGGGCCTCCTCCCTCGGCCGGCCTCACCTCTGTCGGCTCCCCGGGGCGCCGTCCCACTCGTACCTTCCCTTCCCCAACGGCCTCCGCGGCCGGTGTTTCCCTACTTCGGATTCAAACTTACCGACGGCCCAGATTTTGCCCCACGCCACCTTTGTGCAGTGATACATACACACGGCCGGATCTCTTCTTGCCTGGAGCACACGCTTGGCAAATTAATTCTTGCCTAACTGTGAAGGAAAGAAGTAGGCTTGTGTTCCAAAAGTTCGCTGAGACTAAGGAGCGCAGCCCGCAGAGCCCCGCGCGTGCCCTGGACGCCTGCTGGGCTGTGTGCTGGATCAGCGCGAAGAGGGGTGGCCCCGGAGCTCTGATTTTCGCTTCTGGCTAGCCTTATCTTTGGGAAAAAGGCTTTTCTGTGTGTGTGTGTGTGTGTTGGCAGGGTAACTTGACAGACTATTCGAAGTATTTTCTGATTTTAAGAACACTAGATCATCTTGGTACAACAGGTCAGACTAGTAACTTTTTAAAAGAGCAAATAAAGGGTGATTATAAACTGTTAGGAGCAGACCCTTTCCAGAATGATTGGACTTAGTATATATCAGAGTAGGTTTTGGTTAATCTGAAATCATTGTTTTAGGAGAGGGTCTCCCCTTTAACTTCCTTGTGAGGCACCGAACCTGGCTTATTTACTGTGGCCACTGCTTGGAAAGAAGGGACATTTCTGTAGTCTTCTTCTGGGATTCCCCCTGATTTCTTAACGTTAAATGCTTCAGACAGAAGTGCTGTTTGAAATCCATTTGTCTAATCTTCACATTCTCAGTGGCTGAAAGTCATTCTTGATCACATTTAGCTCTAACAGTTGAAATTTTTCATTAAGTAGTCATATTGTCATTAGGTGTTTTTGTCACAGATTGAAGGGGGGGGCAGTCGCAAAAAAAAAAAAAAAGGGGCTGGTGAAATTCTTCATTCCAATTAGAGGTACCAAACTGTACAATAAAGAAGAGATGAGTTAAGAGCTGGAACCTTGAAAATCCCAGTTGCTCACACCTTCCCGATTTGATGCTGTCTTGCTTATGAATTCCTCAGTTGGCCAGAGGTTGGGACCATGAAAATCACCACAAATGGTGGTCTCCATTTGACATTGGGACGGATGTAGTAAGGAGACAGCTCTCTACTCAGGATTTCAAATGAATTTTTTTTTCTCTAGACACTTAAATGTAATTATGTTCCATTTCACATTATCTGTGACTCTGTTAGGTGCTTTTTTCCCATTATTTTTAAACAAGCTATTTCTTTTTTAGGAGTTAGGTTGGACCTTGCCTGCATTTAAGGCAGAAAATTAACTGGTGGAATGTTTGTACTGTGGAAGCAAGCATGCTGGAGAGAAAATTAATGGGTTTACTGTGTGCTTATTTACTACTGCTAGTTAATCTGAATGGAACCTGAGACTGTAACATGTGAATACCAAAGCCACCTTTTCAGAGGTGGGGGCCATTTGTAGAAGTACCTGACACAGGGCAGGCACATTCCCTTATTTGGCTCTCGTTCCCAAGCTGCCTGCTGCATTCAGTCCCTGGCCCTGGGGTCTGCAGGCTGAGAGGGAATGTGGGCATCTTCACCCCTAGAGCATGCTAGCCTGCAGGTGGTTCTTTTTCACAGGAGTTAATAAACATGGGAATTCTGGACTATGCTATATAGGCACAACACAAGCAGATTCAAGGCACATTTGTATTCATTTCAGGGTGATTGTTTTATTAGATCTGGAGTTTAGCTGTAGTCTTTACGTGTTTAAGTAATGTTACAGAAATGTGAACTGGTAACATACTGTCAATTTTAACAAGTGCTGCTTTTTAGGAAGTATTATTTGCCTTAAGTTTGATTGACCAGTGCTAATACAAGCATACAGTGCAACAAAACCAGGACTAAGGCGTTTTTATGGCTTCACTTTTTTTTTTTTTTACTCAAATGCAAGTTTTAAAAAACGTTTATTAGCAAGGTATAGAGAGGAGGACAGAGAGAGGGAGAGGTCTTCCATCTGCTGGTTCACTCTCCAAGTGACTGACCAGCTGATCCAAAGCCAGGAGCTGCTGCTAGATCTCCCTCTGCGGTGCAGAGTCCCAAGAACTTGAGTCAGCCTCCACTGCTTTTCCAGGTCACAAGCAGGGAGCTGGATCGGAAGTAGAGCAGCTAGGACATAATTTGCACCCATATGGGATGCCAAGCACCACAGATGGAGGTTTAGCCTATTAAGCCTTTGCACCAGCCTCCCAAATAGCAGATGCCTAAGTGACTACATGCAAGACGTTAAACACCTGCAGGCTTGTTACTAATATATAAGTAAATGCTACGCAGCTAAATTTAACGGTACTGTTTGTTCTGAATCATTTGGTCATTTGATAAATAAGCAAAAACATGCTGTAAGCCAGTCTTATTTACGACAGGGTCTTAAGTATTATAAGAACCCTTTACTTATTTTTTTACTATTAGTGTTTAATTAGTAGACTTCCTCTTGAAGTGAGGAAGTAGCTTTCACTGCAGGTATTGCCAAAGATCTGGGGAAGCCTTCATTAAAGCTTTCTCAACACCTTGCCCTTTCCCTTTGCTCTGTGCAGGTGTCCCAGGCAGCTGCAGACTTAAAACAGTTTTGTCTGCAGAATGCTCAACATGATCCCCTGCTGACTGGAGTATCTTCAAGTACAAATCCCTTCAGACCCCAGAAAGTCTGCTCCTTTCTGTAGTCAAACAAACCTATCAGAGGTAAGTTTCCTTAAAAACTCACATTGTAGTCAAAAGCCTGTTGGCACTCACAAGTTTACAGTTTCTGTTCTGTAAGGAAAGTACTGATGAGACTTTGTATTTCAGTAGTCAGGAAAATGGACAGCTTTTAACCATAAAAATAATTTAATAGCATTACCAAAACAACAACAAAAATACTCCAATACTAACAGCTTATGTTTTGTTATTTTATACCACTAACCTAAAGTGGCATATAAATTTGGGGTACCCAAGTGATATTTCTCATTTGTTAGGCAAAGAATAAACATGAGGAAAATGTGGCATTTGAGTTTATAGTAGTAGATTGGATTTCAGTAACAAGTTGATAGCTGTAGGGTATCATTACGGCATGCTCCTGTATATTAATTCGTACCTTCCAGGTCAGATGCCCTGTGTGGAAAACATGTGTTTCTCTAAAAGAAATGTGACCAAAAACCTGCTTTTAAGTTATAATTTAAGGATATATTCTTTTATAAATCATTATTATTAGGGTACATAAAAATTGTGGAAAAGTTCTTTCTTTAGAATACACATTCTCCCTGAACCTTCATATATATGGATTTCAAAATTGGGAAAAGGAATCAAAATAAATTTTTAATCCTTTTTTATATGTACTTTTTGAAGTACTCTTACATGTAGAGCATATATTACTGAAAAGCAAAATAAGTCCAGGAAACTATTTTTTGAAGTACCTTGTTACAGGGTTGTGTACTCCAGTGAAGCTTTGTAAACTTGGAAAATATATGTTTTAAAAGGGAAAAAAACTCATTAAAATAGTCTGACACCTTCATGTTTGTTATTTTCTTGTTTCTAGTAGTATTTTAATTCTTTATGGAATTTTTAGAAATGTAGTTTATTGCAAACCTTTTTTAGCCCCAGGTCCTGTCTGTTTCCCTTAAAGAGTGGTTTATTTTCTTCTGATACATTATGCTGTTAAGAAGCCTGGCAGCTGTTAGTATTTTTCTTTCTTCTTTCTTTATTAGATAAAAGCTGTAAATATTGTTGGGATAAAAATGTAGATTTCAAAGTAAATAGGTATTGTTCCAAAAGTACAAGAAAGCAAGCTCTTTGATACTATGATTAGAAGCAACTTTATGTATTTATAAATCATACTGTGAAAAACACAGCTTAGAATTAAGTAGTTCTGAAGAGAGGTAATAGAATTTGATTTTCTTAAAGCTCATGTTATATTGGCAACTGATGCCTATAGGCATGTATTAACATGGCATATACATGGAGTTTTATCCTTGTAAATATAGCTTTTTGTAATTAAGAAAAATATATGGTACAAAAGTAGCAGACTTAGAAATAATCAGTTATCGCTTCTCGGCCATTTGGCTAAAGTTATTACAATTTCATTTCCTGTTAATATTTTTACTTTTAACATTCTTTGTAAACAGAATTTCTAATTATATCGTTAATTATACTTCATTGTTAAGGTTTCCAAATATGAAGCCACAGTGAGGTGAACAGCTTTATGCAGCAGTGCTTTTCATAAAGTTTGTGGAAAATAAGTACTATGAAAAACCAACATGGGTTAATTTTTGTTTTGTAGAAAATTGTAGCCCTTTTCAAAGTAATTTTTAGATATTTATTTGATAGGCAAAGAGAGAGCTTTGCTGCTTCATTTCCCAAATGCCTGCAGCAGCTGGGGCTCGGCTAGGCCAAAGTCCCGGACCCCAGAACTCAGTGCAGGTCTCCCATGTGGATGGTAGGGTGCCCAAGTACTGGAGCCATCACCTGCTGCTTCCCAGGGTGCCCAATATCAGGAAGCTGCAAACAAGAGGCATTGAGACATGAATACTCTACTGGGATGTAGGCATTTCAAGCAGTGTCATGACTGCTATGCCAAATGCTTATCCTCTTCAGTTCCTATTTGAATTCCATTTCCCATGAATTTTTCAAGTATGGGTAACTCTATTCCTAGAAATGGGTAAAATCAGTGAACAAGGAATGGGTATTTAGAAATACAGTAATATTTGATCATCACTGCCCTTAATTTGGTCTTTGTTTCCCTTTAGCCTTTGCCAAACTGTCCATTTCTCATTGTTCTAAGCAAAACTTAACATTTCCTCACTATTGCAGTTTGTATGTATCTCATGAACAGTAAAGATAACCATATATCTAACCATCCTGAATTAAATGCTTTAACACTTTTTAAAAGCAATGAAAGTTAATTATTTCAAAGGCAGAGCTAGAGGGGAACACACAGATATCCCATGTCTTGGTCCATTCCCCAGATGATTGCAGTGATGGGTGCTGGGTCATCTGGCCAGGATAGGAAGTGAAGTAGCAAGGATTCAAACCAGCATCCCTATGGGATGTCAGTATTGCAGGTGACAGCTTAGCCATTTTGCCTTGATTTTTATTAAACCTGTTTTGCCATAAGGTTGGTCATTTTAAAATGTTTGTATTATAAATATCAGTTACCTATCCAGTTGCCTACTGAGTTGAATTTATGCTGTTTCCAGTCTTAATTCTGTTAGATCACTGTACATCGTGCAAATAAGCATGGTTGTTTTCCATGATCAGATATATCCAAACTGCTCCCCTTAATATCCTTGATAAGTTTTCTATTCAGATTTTCTTAAGATTTATTTATAATACAGTGTATATTTTGTGTAGTAGTCTTATCTTAGCAAGTTAATCAGTAAATCCGTATAAAACAGAATGATGAATTACATGTTACTGCCTAATATAGGGCTGGTATTCCTCAACCTGTGCTGACTCTTAAAAATACTGTTCAGTTGCTTTTAGAAAACTAAATAAGGCAGAGGCCAATTTAATTGAAAGTCTTATAAACTGACATCTAAGTGAATCACATGAAGGCAATACAGGTATTCCTTGACTTAAGGTTACCTCCAACACAATGCATTTAACCTTTCTGAACATTATAGTTTAGCAACATGGTATTGTAATGGTGCAGCTGACTGGGAACTGTATGTCACAATTTGAAGTATGGTTTCTGTTGAACATACATCATTTATGGCCATAAGCCCAGACTGTCTTGCACAGATGAATCGTGACATGAATGATTTGTAAAAAAAAAACCAAACAAAAACCCTGCAGTTACAAAATCAGGATTACTCAAAATGATATTTTTAAAAGCTGCTATCTGATGTCTTTCACCCTAATTAAACTTTTCCCCCCTCTCCTTATTTCAGGGTTCCTGAACCACTTCTCATTAACCGGTGAATATTCATTCAAGAGAGCTAAATTTGAAGCGTGTACAAAAAGCTTCCCATAACACATGTGCCATAATATACAAACTTCTACATTTGTCAGTCCTTAACATCTACCTCTCTCTTTTCATGAGTTTCTACACTTGATCTTAGCCAAAAGGCCGAGAAGCGATGTTTTCATGAATTTCTATTTCACAACGGTAATTATTTTATATACACTGGCAGCAGCAAATAAAATACTTAGTATACAAGTCTTGTCTTTTATTAATCTATCTTGTATACTTTGGGTTTTTTTTTTTTTTTACTATTTGCTCCACCAGCACTTTTAGTTTCATTAGAAAAAACTAAAAATTTGAAAATTCCCCAATAAAGTACTATGTACCATGTCATGAGGTAAGAAGAAAAAATTAGCTTCAGTAGTTTCAAGTTTTATCTCAAGTCTGGATAAGTCATTTTGCTTTAAATATTTCACCTTTTTAAAAGGCTTAAGGAATGTTAAAATATCCTAGAAACCTGGTCTCCAATTTGAAACTATGCAGCAAACACTGGTATCCATCAACCATTTCATTTCTAGCCCAAGTGCGTTATGAAAATGCAGACAGAGGTTAAATTTTGCCCCATTTCCAGTTTTTAATTTAAAAGGTGACATCACAGTTATACGCAAGGCATGTTTTGGAGAGGAGGAAATGTTCCCGCCTTCATTTTGTGTCCACAGTAAGAGGGGTACTCTGGCATTGCCAGTTTTCGAATGATCTGGGGAAGGGAAGTGGTTTCCTGATACAGCCTCAGATCCCCTGTGGTGGGAAGTATCCTGGGGGAAGGGACAGTGATTGGTAGACAGGTGGGATTTACAAAGTGCAGAGGGGGATGTGGCTTTCCAAATTGTGACCAGAAGTCAACTACTTGTCCCGACTGATTCTGACTCTTTGTTGTGAGCCAGAATTTCCACCCAGTGCCAATGGCTATGTCCTCTGCATCATTACTGAGATGCAGATTCTATAGGAGTGTTTGCACAGGAGTCAGCAATGTATTTGGTCTAATCATGGAATATGTGCAGAGGCCACATCACATACCCGTGGGGCCTGGCCCCTAACATTGGAGATCCTGTCATGTTTCAGGACATGACAAGATGAAAGGACACACTACTTGCTGACACCAAAAGCCACTAGTGGGCGTCCCCCAACAGCAGATGCTGTGGTTGGTCCAGGAAGACCAGAGAAGCCTGCCCTGTGTATCCCTGCCTGCCCCTTCCCCAGCCCAAAAGTTATCCAAAAAAAAACACTACTTTTGTTTGTATCTGTTGTATAAACAGTGGTATTCCAGAGTACTTGGTCATTTTTGCCCAAACATGAAGTTTATGAAATCAGTAAATACCATTTTGAAAAGCAGTGTTCCATCAAAAATAATTTACCAAATTCAAGATAGGCCTGTTGAGCAAAATCCAATGTTATCCCTTCAATACTTTACAAATGAAATTTTCTTCTACTTGTATCCATCTCCCGGGGCTGAAGGAAAAAAAGAAAAAAAGGAAAAAAAAAATTAATTCAGTAGCAGTAAAAACTAACACTAGTGCTGAGGAACTCTTGAGTTTGTCTCAGACCCTTCCTATTTCAGTTTCTAATAGAAAGGCTTTTACTAATTAGTCTGTATTCACTACTACATAGAAAAGTATTTTGTAATAGTTTATGCTTTTAGATGACCTCTAAACTTAGAGCTTCCAATTGCACTCATGAATACTTAAGATGAACCAAATACCAAATCAAATTTGTTCTTTCCAGCTTCTGAGACAGTAATTGAGAAGTAGAAATTAAAACCTGACCACCCAAAATGTAAAGTATATGGTTACCTTCTTATTCCATACATAGAGGACATACCTTATGTACCCATTCATATTCTCCATATTTAGAATCAAAGGTTCCTTTCTGAAGAGATCTTAATTTTAAGGTAAAACGTGGTCCAAGTTCCTGAATTCCTACTTTCTTTTCACTCTTGAATATGTATCTTCAAAGAAAAAAAAATAGTAGAAATTAGTCTGAACAAGCCAACTGTTAGTTCAAACATATTTAATGATGGAAATCAAAGCCCAAACAGTTACAAGTACCATCCTTACCTGTGAAATCTGAAGAAGATATAATCTCGTTGGTTATGGAATGTAGCAACCTGCCTTCCAATAAACTGAGGATTATGGGGAAAGAGAGAAGCAAACATGCGTCCAATAGAATGACCCAGCCGTGTTGTAAAATTATTCAAGATTATTTCAGGTTTGTGTTCTGTGGGGTCCTTGCCTCTTCTCTAGAGAAAGTACAGTAGTAACAAATTAGGCTAAATGGCAAATCACATCTTTAAATGCAATTCAAAATACTAGAATTTACATAATCTTCAAATTTTTATGAATGACAAACTATCACAAACGTCTGATCAAACTGATGGCTAATAATGTTTCGGTTATTTTAATAGGCAATGGGGCATACCAGGAAAGCAAACCAGAAAATCACCATGTTTATGGTATTAAGGACTGTTCCCTATCTACCATCACTGAATCTCTAACTTCACAAAGAAACTTGTCAGTAAATAGTAACTTGCTTTATTCAGGAAAACATGTGGCCACTCAAATCAGGTCTGTAATGTGATTAACCAGATGCTGCGAGATATGTATGCCAAAGAATGCATAAAACTCACCTTAATTTCTTTACGAAGACGAACACTGCTCACTTTAAAATGAGCAGTTGGACCATTTGGTAAGTGACTCAAAATAAGTCCATCTATTTATGAAGTTAAGAAAACACATTAAACTCTAAATCTTGTTTAAGTAGCAGTACCTGTTTGGTGCAGTGGTTAAGATGCCACCTGAGACTTTCATAGCCTATGCAGAAGAACACAAATTCAAATTCTGGCCCTACTAACACACACCCTGTGAGGCAGGAGGAGATGGCTTAAGTGTCTGGGTCCCTACCAACCATGCGAGAGATGGAGTTCCTAGCTTCTTCCTGCCTTTGACCTAGATCAGTTTTGGATGTTGCAGGCATTTAGGGGAATTATATCAGTTCAGTGGGAGATACTTCTCTTTCAAATAGGTTAAAAAAAATAAACATTTTAAAATGGACCTGGGTCCTCTTACATATCCCAAAGCCCCTAAAATCAGTACCTTAGAAGAGGGCTGTACTTATCCCACTGAGTAAAATGTTCCTACCACATCAAAACAAAACTTGTAACCTAAATCTTGTAAGACAATATCTTACTTCTTTCTTTTTACAATACAATGTATAGTATCACCTTCAATAGGGTTTCTTGGGCTTTCAACTAAAGCAGATGAAAAGGGGAGTATGGAATTCTAGCATAACATAGCACTGTCAATAGAGGTTTACTCCTCCATGTTTAGAATTCTAGTCCTAAAAATACTGCTTTCATGTTTGTATGGTTAGTGTAGGCTGACAGTCCAAAACCAAAGACCCCTAAATTCCGAAACCAAGGTGGTTAATATTTCTGAAAAGCTCTTATAATTACTGTGCCATAAATTATACGCAACTAATAATTAGCCATTTATTACCATCAGAGAATTATACCAGACACTGAACTTTAAATGAAATAAATACAGGATACCAACCTATAATCAGATTTAGCAGTCCAAAACTCTAAAAGTTCTGTCTGCAGCAAATTAAGATTACTACCTGAACACTGTTCAAACTTGACAACCTGCAACATCTTTTCTTTTTTCAATTACTAACTTGTGGCTCAATCTATGGCAATGAAAGCAGGCAGAACTGATAGTAGTGGGCTTGGCATGCAAGTTACATCATGTTTTTCTAGTTAACAAAATATTCTACCATCTGATTGTTCCAGAAACAGCATTAATATAGGTCAGAATCAAAATTTTTCTCAAGTCCTTAGGAACACAATCTGTTTTACGAAACAGATGTTATTTTTGGTGATCTCTAACTTCCCCATCTCTCACTACTTTTCTCTTCTGAAGTTCTCTACTACAGTTCCCCATCATTCTTCCCACTACTCTTTGTTAATCCTTGAGATTTTTCCATCTGGTTCTACTTTTTCACCATTTCAAGTACATCATCTACAAGAGACTATAAATCTGGATTCAGGTCTTGGTTCTGTAAGTAATCAGCTATGGGATCTGGCTGTCATATGTCCCATGGGTTTCTCATGTGCTAAGTGAAAAACTAGATTCCATCATTGTCTTGCCAGATTCACTTACACCAAAAAAGATATCAGTAAGACCCTGGTGACTAAAAACTACCTTTCTATCCTATTTTTCCCCTTTGACCCCCAAAACTGTTTTATTAGCTGATGATATTGAGAATTTTATGTACTATTCATGCTGGAATAATGCATTTTTTGCTCAAGCTATTTCAAATATATGCACCATTTTACTTAACTATAGGTTCATTTCAGATTCCACCTCTTCTTATTTGGGATTGAGGTTCTAAATAAATTTGCTACATTACTTAACATAGTACTTGTCATTTAAATTTGAGTCACAGATATGACAATACCTTTCTTAACCAATTTGTTCATTTTGCAAATAGATGTGTTTATTATAGATATTAGGCCTTACCACAGAGTATCAACATTGTAATTCTTTAAGATTTTTATAGATTGATCATAATGTACACCTGAAAGTCACTATCATACACTGAGTAAATTATAAAGCATCCAACAGAGTAGATATAAAAGCCATTTCTTCCAAAACAAGTAAGTATAAACTCCAATTTATAGATATTAATAAATTGCTTTCTTGGGTAGTGTGCAAACTTTATGTTATTGCTAATACCTAATGAATCATGCTTCTGTCAACAATGACAAAGGCTGACTACTTGCCCCAAGAGAGACTCAATGATAAATAGGAAACTATTAATACAATAGAATATGAAGACAATACTGTTTCTGAAAGCAACAGATGGCATAAGTGAGATCTTTGTGTGTATATAAAACACTTCAGATAAAACAAAGTTTCACTGATAAACAACAGTTGTTTCTTAGTTTCTGGCAACCTTAAAATGAAGGTTTTTTTTACTGCCAAAAATAAAAGGAAAACAGATCCTGCCATTTTAATTTGGGGGGAGTTAAAGCAGCAGCAGCTACTCTGGAAATACTTTTCTTATGAAATGGTTAATATTCAGATGACTTCTGTTTGTTATTTAACATTGGCTAAGCCACCACACTTTGGCAATAAAACATCTTACTACGATGTTTTTGTGTATTTCAATTTCTAGAAAGCTACTGGTACAAGTGGATAAAATAATACATTCAAGTGATTTAAAAGACAATAAAATCCGCTGAGTTACTTCGATGTTTCTTGAAAACCTAAGGCTGGACTTAGGAGTTTAAGTTGGAAATCAAACCAAAACATCCTGATGTTGGGACATGGGCATCTTAACTGCTAGGCCAAATAACCACTCTTTGAATGCTTCCTAAGTAAAAAAAAAAGAGGAAAGTTTCCTTAATGATAATAATTCAAGAAAGGATACTTGGTGTTTTACGATCTTCATTAATGACAATGAGATCTGTAAAATCTCTTGAGATGCACTGTGGAATAATTTTTTTCAGGGCCAGTCCTCTTCTATAATAAACATGTGAGTTTGGTATAACTGTGGAGAGTTGTTCACAAAGTTTTACTGTTCTCTGTAAAACAAAACAACAAAAATTCTCAAGAATCATAAGGAACAAAATCTTACATGGTGTAACTTTACTACGACAGGAATAATGAGTATAAATTAGTGCTATTACTGAAAGTAGTTAGGAAAGAATTAAATAACAACAACATTGCACCTGTTGCAAGTTTATCTTGCGGGTTAGTGGGGAGGAGATGCGCCCAAAAAGAAATGAGCGGGGGCACAGTATTCTTAAGTAACTGACAATGCTTACTTCCAGGGTTCCAGTTTATATACAATCAGCAAAGCAACACTTCAAAC